TGCAGACTTCCCACACTTCGGCGGGGTGGACCCAAACCTGATCGAGGAAGCGTTGAGTCACCCGTCTTGGTCATCCGAGAACGGCAAGAACTATCTCCGTCTGGTGAGTGTTTGAACGCACTGCATATTCAATAGCGAGTTGTATTCGAGTCTTTGTACCAGTTACTGGCGCATGAGAATGTTCATGAGTCATATAGGACTCCTGTCAGCTAGTCATATAGGACTCCTGTCAGTTGTACCGTGATTTGCCCTAAAGTTGCTTCAGGTGCATCGCCTAGCTTCGAGGGGCACGTGTTGTCATGGTTACAAGTTTTGTGCGGTACTGTACGTATATGAAACGGGTGCGAATGGGCCGAGTCTATCAATTCTTAAATGAAGTTAGTTGCACAGTCTGATACGTTGTGTGGTGAACGGCGCGTACTCACTAATTACGCGCATTATTTATTAATTCCAAACTAATCACTGAGAATGCGCCTGGATTGTGAAGTCAGTTACAGTCCGCGTGCTGATTACATGGCTTTGTTGTGCTACTCCTTCTACTATCTGCAGGCTGTTCTGGGAGATGCCATGCTTGATCTTTATGTCATTGAGACAATCTACAACAAACATCCCGAAATGGATAATGGGGAGATAACCATTGAGAAGTCAAAGATTGTGTCCAATCATGCACTGGGTCAATTTGCTATCCCGTATCTATCGTACGTGAGAACGCGTGCTGTAATCTTCAGGGATTCCAAGGTCGCCTGTGATGTGATGGAAGCCCTAGGTAGGTGCCAAAATCAGAACACTCACTGATCCCCATATATGCGCTATTACGCACAGCCCCATTTATATAGTTTAGTGTATACATGTCCACACATGTCCACACAAATGCTTCAAAATATACAGATCCACATACATACTATATATATATATATATATATACGTATATTTATATTATGTATATTATATTTATATATTTATATATATATTATGTATTATATATTATATATATATATACATGTATTTATATGGATATGGATATGGATGTATATATGTTATATATATATGTATATGTATATGGATATGGATGTATATATATACGTATGTTTATGCATATATATATATATATATATATAGATGAACACATACGCGTGAACGAATGGACTACTGTACTTTATTTTTTGATATGTGCGCGAGAGTTCAAACAACATTATATCTAGCTATTTCTGCCCCCTATCTTTTGTTGAGATCCGCATACAATCGAACGTTGAGGTAGATTGCAAGAGGGAGAGGGCCGTGCTCGAAGAGCTTAATGTTTGTATATATATCTATACCTCACCAAGCGCTTCGTTGCTTATAGAGTTGCGCTTCAGTTTATTTCCAGCGCTATATCTCTGACTTGGAAAATACACAAGTTGCACTTTGTGAGCCCGTGATGCGTATGTCGAGGTCTATCGTTGACTAATTTCTCTTGCTTCGTCGATTCTTGCCACCGCTAAGTTGGGGCTTACTACAGCCAATTTGGCTACAAGATGACCTGCGAGCTGTGTAGAAAACTAGGGATTGCCGCGCAAATATAATGTACGACCCGGTTCCATGTCACGCGCTTCATCACGCGATTGTGAGTGGTCGGATGTTCTGTTAATAACTGGACTGCCGGTTGATTATAATTGCGCTGTGGCGCGCCCACTCTTTGGCCGACAAGGCCGTTCATCACGGTCATAGGTATGAACTTAATCCCGGATGTAGGTGGAAGTGAAATGATTGGTCGGTGCTGGGTCTGCTTGCCGTGCTTGTGGAGCATTGTAAGAGAAATGGCCTAGATTAGCGGCTACTTAATAACATTTCTAATATATTAAGTATTGACTTTTTCGGAGGGAGCATTGAATTGAATGGATCAAGACGGGCGGGAAAAGGGGTGGTGGTGGTTTGATATACTTCAGTCTCCTATCGTACACATGAATGGATCGCATAGCTCACATCATATGTCCACTTTCTAGGTGAGGGGTTTGTCAGTGCCACCCAGCGACTACTAAATACCATCAGCAAAATTTCTGTGCACCCGTCATTCAAGAGGCCTAAATACTTGAATGTAAATAAATAAAAAATCCAATGCGATGAGCGACACTCTTGCTCTGTTTGGATCAACAATTCAACATCCAACTGATCTGAACAATGTCTGACGCTTATTTTAGAGTATTCTTGCCCAACTTAAAACATAACTTCACTTGAGATTCATCATACGTCCGTCGGCGTCGGGGCAGACTCTCGTGAATTCCTTTTTTTTAAATGACAAAAACAAAAAATAACATGCAGTATGGAAATATGTAAATACGGCCTGCGCCGTTGCTTTCACCGTTCACGCTGTACTATTTTTTTAAAACAAATAAATAAATTATACCTTTTATATATATATATATATACGGGTAATATTTTGGCTTTTATGCTCGTCTGGTTTAACCGTCCGAGTCGTATCATACGTATGCAATCGTGCAAGAGTAAAGAGTTAATACAAGGAATTTATATTTTTATCTAAGATAAATCCTGTATTTTACTGGCTTCTATTTATATATTGTTACTTATAGGGGTCTTTTATCGTTCACAGAGTCCAGTCATCAGTCTCAGACTTCAACACAGTCACATTCATCAAAGTCACTGCCTCACGAGAGTTACGGAGTCTTCAGTGCTAGAGAGTGATGAGTAGTGTCTGTAGACTGTAAATAGAAATTGTCACCACTACTTTGTTTTTATTTATTTTTAAACATTTTTGTAGTGTATTCTATTTTACATAAAAAAACTCATAAATACATAGCCTCTATGTACGTACAGTCCTTTAAATATTTTATAAATAATATATATATACATTTACTGAATTATGTTTTGTTTGTTTTTTTATAAGAAAAAAGAAAGGAGGAAAATACCAAACTGATGACTGATGACTGCAGTGATGAACTGATGACTGACGCAGTGATGACTGATGAGTGATGTACAGAATCACTAGCTCCCTACAGATGCCAAATGAATCGTAGTAGAGTGTACTATGACTTCCTGTGGCTGTAACTAAATATGTGTATTTATAAAGTGCAGTGTGGAGTGTATATAGACTGTAGTGAGTGGACTGTGAACTATAGACTGGAAAACTAGTTCGCTATAACAATATATAATGACAATATTATATATATATATATATATATATATATATATATATATGACAGACAGAGCGTGTATATATTTCAAAGGGCAGACGCCATACAGTCATACACTATGTATGTACTTTATATATATACCGAGTAGACTAGAGAGAGACTTATATTACTAGTTGAGAGAGAGACATATTACTAGTTGAGGGAGAGTGTTATATAGGACTGTAGGGCGCGGGCTGTGGATTTGGACTGTGGACTGTGAACTGTGAAGTGTGATTAAAAACTCACATAGTGTGAACGTATAAATATTCACTGTTGCAGTCTTGCAGTGTTAAGCGACTCTTGTATTCTCCTTTTTCTAAAACATATTTTTTGTCGTTTGAATTTAAGAAAAGACAGAGAAGGAGCTCACATATTGTTTGTTTAACGATGTTAAAAAATAAAAAATAAAAAATAGGAAGACGCCGTGCACAAAAAAAAGAAAAGAAGTCGACATACCCTTCAATAATCATACAAAGTCCAAAGACGACCTATTTACAGTTTGTTAAGAAAAATAAAAACAGCCTTCTAGAAATGAAACAATAAAGTTAACAAATCTGAGTATCAGACTGTCACACACACAAATAAGGCCGATAAGGCGATGACATCTGACGAAGAATCGCACCATTCCTGTAAATACTGGGGGTTCAGCGTTTGCATCAAAATTTGGATTTTTCATGTGTAATTTTCAGGAAAAAGGCTATTTATCGCTATGTAAATATTGTAATTAGCTTGTTTATTTATTTATTTATGAACTTTTTTCGTTTTGTGTTTTTTTTTGGGTTTGTTGTATTTACAAAAATAAACCAAATCGACACAAACCAAACAAAAAAATAATAATAAATGCCCCCCTGCCTTCAATCACAATGTATTTATGTAAATATTATTACCTATTGTTATTTCAAAAAAAAAATAATTCCTGTATCTGCTTTTCATCAAAATTCTCTCTCTCTCTACTACTCTGAGAGTCTCTCCTGAGGCGTGTAAAGATTGATCGGTAATGGTATCCAATTATCCATGTCTCACTCATTAGGCTCAGCATTAGAAGTTACATGTTCACTACGTAACACAAGCATTGGCCTTTAATTGTCAGTTAGGTTGTACGCATGAAACGCGTAGTTAAGTTTTAGTGCAAGATATTTCACATACATATCAATGATATACATGGTAGTGGCACCCTATATACACAACAATGCCCTGCTAAGCCTTTGAAAGACTGATAGTTGCTGATTCTGTTTCACATACTATACAATACAGTACTTTATTTTCTATATTTAAACAGATATCGTAGACATAGTACATAGTACGTAATACATATTACACATGGGTCCAGCAATTTCAGCAAGCCTTTGGTGCGTAGGTCTACCATATATGTTGTTGTTATGTATATGTACAAACGTAGTGGAAGGGCAACAAGTAACTGAGGAACTGAAGCAATTGTTGGCACCCGGGTATGCGGTCAACTTCGACGGCGTGGATGATTTCTTCGCGTTTGGGGCCACGCACGGAGCCCATTTTCCGAACGAGACATTCTATGATGGGTCATACACATGTTGGTATGACTAGGATTTTAGTTATCTTGTTGTATGTGTGCTATAAGAACAGTTATCGTATTGTATGTGAGCTATAAGAATGTGCAACATGATATTGTTGTTCATACGGATCAGTTAGACTTGATTGCTCTACAAGTATTTTGTTATTCAGTTCAGTGTTTTTTTTCATTTCCCTGAGCGTTACCATTCGTGTGCAGTGTACCATTGATAAGTCTTCTTGGGTTTGCGTTTCCGTCCTATATTCAAATGATAACAAGCTATCAAAATAAATTATAGAGATCACTATCGGTTATAGCAAATGAACATAGCTATTTTTCATGTATATTCCAGCTTGCGCATTCATAGATTTCAAATCTGCTGAACATTTTTAGACCCATAATAGATATATATTTAT